GCTCCAGAGACCCCCCCCCCCCCCCCCGCCGTGTTCAAGAACTTTTTAGCTCTCCAAGCGTCCGTCTTCCCTCAAGCGTCTTCCAAGCGTCCGTCTTCCTTCTGCCTTATTCAGAGAAAAGAGAACGAACGTACGGGAAACCATGTGACACCGGCAAAGAAAGCTCCACTTTTATGAAAACTCGCCAGAATCTCCGTTGTTTCGTCATTGCGATTAACGCAGTAGCTGTGAATATCGTACCTTTGAAGCGTTAGCGTTTTTTTTGCAGCAGCTTCCACTCTTAAAAGGTTTTCCGGACTGATGATGCAGACTGTTCTGTTCATAATGCCTGCCTGTTCACGGGACGGGGCTGAGGTGGTTCCCACCTCGATGCCGCTGGAGGCACGACAATTCGGCGTTGCTCGGGTGGCCAGCGAGCAGTGGTGGGCGCTCAGGTGGTAGCCCCATCGCTAGACGCGCTCGGCTGTCCGGGGCATGGCATCATGGCTGCCGGAGGGCACCCAACTTGGTCACTCAAGACCCCAGCAACAACCGGAGACCTTTTGCTGATCTTGCTGCCGCGGTACGCTCGAACGTAGACAAGAAACCAGGTCACGGCCGAGGGCTACAGCCTCTGATGGAAGAAAATAGTCCCCAAAGACGTTCTTCAACTATTTGCCCAGTAGCCTCAATAAATGAGTTCAGCGCCTCACAAATAAAGTGCTCCAAAAACTTTTTTAATGCGCCAATTGTGAGCGCGGACACAGGCATCCAGATACAGGGATGGAGCTAATTCGACGCACGAATTACCTTCAGCGGCTTACCTTTGGCGTGGCCAAAGCGGAAGGTGCATCAACCTTCGCCTTAGAAAACACGAACGCTCATTATCGGAGCCAAAACCGTGCCCCCTCGCCGCTCGTTCTCAGGAATGCGTCTGCGTACCTTTCTTCTACGACACAATGATACTTTCGCATCGTAAAAAATCAGTTAGCAAGAGAAGTGATTGAAGTCTTCTATATCCGTCAAAAAAAAAAACGATAAATGTGTCAGAGCGACGCAGAATTCAGCTATCTTTCCAGCTCCAGCAGATGATACCACTGTATATATTTTTCCCTTGGTTGCGGCGTGTTTGAATGTATTGCTGTTTGTTAATTTTTTTTGCATTTTCTGTTAAGTTGCACTTCACCTATATATCAGCTGTTCTTTCCCAAATAAATGTTAGTTGCGAGTCCTGTTTGTGTCCTTGTACTTCCTCGTCAGTCTCGTGGGCGCTGTTCAACCAAGACGAGCCCCTAATGGCGGCCACGATGAGACTGGAGTCGGCGCGGGCAGAAAACGCACGGGCGCTGCGCCATCGTTCACGTAATGTTGGCTTCGCCGCGTGAAATTGAACATTCGACGTCACTTTGCACCACGTGACAGCGCTCGCCGAATAGCGGCGTGGGTGGCGAAAAGAAAAGGTATGCGCAAGCTCTGCTACCTAAAGCAGCACATACAGTAACTCCAGATGAGACCAGCCCACCTGATGACGTGGTTTGAGTTGAACGGGTGTATAACTGAGCCCTCCTCCTTTTACGGTGGGTGTTTGTTACGCGCCGCCCCTAGACACTTACCCAGTGAGGCAAACTATGAAGCCTGGAGAAATGATCGATGCCTGCTCTACCAGCTTTTTTACGTTTAGTTTTGCACCCCGTTTGGTGAATGTTTGAACTAACATAAAACAACTAGACTTTTTATTTCATAAATAGCGCTACCACAAAAGAAAAAAAATGCCTGCGAGACTTATGAATTATTAAAAGTATTTTGTTTGAAGCACTGGGTTGTGAAGTTAGTAAGCACAAGTAGATACAAAACAAAGTATGCACCTACTAATGTGCAATAGGCGTTGGTAATTAGCGTCCAAAAGAAAACAAAGCCAGTTTCTACGGAACATGGCAGCAGTAAAATTAGCTAAATTCATTGCTGCCTTCTAGGTCCCCTAATAAAGACAAAAAAAAGTTTCTCTTCACAGAATCTTAGAAAGGGGCCTGCTCTTTCATTATAACGGAGTTCAGAGTATCAGCTCGTGTAATTTTGTCGCTTCATGGGTAATGGGTAATCAAGTACAGCCATAAACTGCCGAATTCACACAATAATTCGTCAACTTTTTGTCACAGCACAAATAACCGTCGCATGGTAAGAAAGTGTAACGTAGTGTACATAACCACTAAATATTATGGTCCTGCTGTGATAATTAAAAAAGTATTCACTCGCAAACTTTTATTATTTTGCCCTTTTCATTGGAGCGTAAACAAATTACTAGTGATTTATTATCCGATATCTTTTTATAGACACCTTGAATAGCACTTAGTCTAAAGACACACTAAATTTCGCTTTGTTAGGATGAACAGTCCCGCCGTACTCGCAGTATACAACGGAGGCTTGGACAACAAAAATGAATTTTTTGTTGCTCACACTGATTTCATTACTATTAGGTGACACTTCCGACCAGGCATTAACAGCAGATGTCGTTGGAAAGCGGAGATAATAATCTTTTTTCAATTCACACAATTCATAGTTATTGGTGAAGCGCAGCGAGCACAGTGTGTCCGCAAACAATGCGTAAAATGCGGAGCGGTTGTCGCCAGATTTGGAACGAAGCACGTGGCGCTGCGGCAGTGTTTTACCGAAGTAATTATTCAATTAGGTTTGTAAATGGACGTAATTGAATAAAAGTATAACTGCCTGTACCACGCCTTCAAGAGGTGATATCACTGCCAAGGCTAACGCTCTTTCCCTTTGCATTGCCATGTGCTTGCGAGCGTTGTGCATATCCACCCGAGACGAGGTTGGTTGGTTTATGATGATATGGCTGGAACGACTACAGGGAACAAAGTGTGGTTTTCTGGGCCAGTTGGTACACGATGCGAAAGTGAAGGGTTCCAGCAAGTCCAGCTTTGTCCGGTGCGTTCCTCTTTCCAGTGCTCCCGTCTGAAGCTTGCTGCGACCCTTCCTTTAGCTACAAGGAATCTGCTACGAATTTTGCAGCAGTAGAAGCTGTGAAGGAGAGCTTTCATGTTGACGTTGTTTAGTTTTGTTTTGTCACTTCGAGAAACTGGTTCGTCACGTCGACATGACAAATCCACCCTCAATTTATTAGGGAGAAACTCTACGATCGATGCTTTATCAAACAATAAAGTTGACCGTTGGCGTCGGCATCGGGTGGTGTCAAGGCGAGGGATCCAAAAGTTCAATTTGTGATTACGTCAGCTTGTGACGTCATAAAATTATGTAGTCACGTGACATGCTAGCTTCGTAGTAAGTTACGATGCCTCGAGGCATTCAAAGTCACGTTATGTTCAGAAGGTTTTTCGGGGAGGGTGAGGAGAGAAGGGGAGGGTTAATGCATGGCCTTATAAGATGGCTTGCGCCCTTGAGTCGTCTAAGGCGATTGCATGAGAAACAGTGCGAGTTTTTTTTTATAGTTTGTACAAACAAACAAAAAGGAGAACTTCACCCTAAGCAGCTTTAATTTTCAATTTGCTCTTGTCATTGCAGGCACTGTTCAAAAAAAGATACGTGAAGAAATTTTTATAAATATAAAACAATGTTCACGTGATTCCCTACCTCCTATGAGCGTGTCGACGCCAAATATGAACAACTCTCGTTTGGGCAAGACAGTGCATGTGCTGTGTGTGTGTGATTGAATCTGTAGCCTCTATTGGCACTTCAAACAATAATAAATCAAGCCTGTATTATCCGCCCGACTCTTGCCTGATCTCCTTGAGTAGGTAGGGACCAACTATCTAATAAACATCATCATCATCAAGCTGTGTAAGCTATATGGGGTGTACTAAAGGCGAGGTGGGAAAAGTACCTTTACAAAGTCATATTTAAGGCGTCATCATCATCGACAAATGTCTCTGTATAGGCAGTGTGATAAAGCACGCGAAGAAAAAAAAGGAGTTGTGTATCAGTGCATCCATCTGAAGCAGCACTGTCTATTTTGGGTGTCGCCATACTGGGACAATCGGAAGTATTTTCGCGTTATCGGCTTCAATCGTAGAAGGTGCGTCAGCACGCTTACTTATCATGCGAGGCCTTCACACTCTGAGGCCAAGTGGATGTGACTGTTATCGTTAGCTCGCGAAGTGCTAGCCCAGTGACCCCTGCCCCTCCAACCCCCGCCTCTTTTATGAAGAAAACCCACAGTCACTGGAGCATGGGGTCAGCTGTTATCCCGCAGTGTCAGATAAATAAGAAACCAGACAAAAACGAAACCTTTAGAGATAACGTGAAGGAGATGGTGCGCTGCTATAGGATAAGTAAAAGATGATTTTTTCCCACTGTATTCAAGGTCACAGTAGCCAGGAAGCCACTACACGGTGACTAATATTATCTGGGATTTTACGTCCCAAAAGCTCGATATGATTACGCCGTAGCGGAGTGCTTCGGAAATATCGACCATCTGTTTTTCTTTAACGCGCGCTGATATCGCACAGTGCGTGGGCATCGGGAATTTCGCCTCCATCGAAGTACGACCGCTTCGGCCGGTATCGAACCAACGACTTCCGTTTACGCAGCCAAACATTCCGACCACAATACCGCCGGGGCGGGCCCACCGTGACTTATTGACTGTTTCCGCTATCCTCTACTCCGTGGCCTATGAACTGCGCTGATGTCCTGGTCAGGCCATGTTGGGACAGAAATCTTGACTTTCGTCGAGCGTCGACGAAGCACCGACAAGGTACCGGATACTGGCAGAGATTTCTGATCTTCTGCTAAGTTTTACGGTTGCTCCAGTTTAACGAACTGCGCTCGATGACTCCAATATAAGAGCCAGGCCGGCCTGAGTAACGTGTTACCGGCCGTGCAGTTAAGACTAAAAGGCCGGACAAGAAAATCAGCCGAGCTTTTTCTTCTTGTCAACGTCCGAGTTCAAGACTACTCGTTCTCACGCAATTCTTGTATGTAAATCTCCTGTTGGTGAATCCTAATATTATAATTTGTTCGTTCTGTGTTTATAACGTCACGCGAAGTGAATGACGTGGAACATCGCGTGGTTCTTCGTCTTGCTGTTGGCAGCATTGTGTCACGGCAGTGCATCGACATTGAATGGATCGGCCACGCTGAAGCGCGCCCTAGTGTTGGACGTGGACACGGGTGTGGATGATGCACTGGCCATCGGTCTCGCCCTGAGCTCTGATGCCGAAGTGGTGGCCATCACTACGGTGGCCGGCAACACTAGAGAGGACTTGGCGAGGGACAACACTCTGCGAGTGCTTCGGGTATTCGGCAGGATGGACGTAAGTGTGTCGCATGAGTTGTTTTTCCCGGGACGCGGTGCTAAGTCGCAGCTTACCGCCTCACGCAGGTTAAGCTTTTTTTTTCCAGCGTCCTTTCTAGTTATTATAGTTTGCTTTCGTATAAGACGTGCATGCTTACATACATATACAGAAAGAGCTCCCAGAGAACTTGGAGAAAGGGGGATTTCTGTCAGAAAATGTGGGTTATATGTACTGGCAGATCGCAACAATGTCAGCAAATTGAAATAAGTTATAAAAAAATTAGTACGCAATTGTGAATAGCAGAAGTCGAACTATTATATGTACAAAAAAAAACGTTGCTTACACTTAATTGACCAGTGTACTTTGTAGTTGCCGATTAAGGCTCTAGCACGTGATCTTTGCAATAGATGCATTGCCAGCCATATGGGCTACGGATCGAGATGTTCTCTGAAAAGTTTCGTACATATTTTCAGTGAAAACCAAAAAAGCATTCTTCTTCTTATGCCTTGGGACGCTCTGTAAGTCTTAAAATGACACGGTGAATATCACGTTAGATATGACGTTCAAATATCCTGTTTACGTGACATTGAAAGTCACGTGAAAAAACTGCGAACCTTCTTTTATCCCGTGCTTAAGATTCCCGTGTACCGAGGAGCAGATCGGCCCCTCGATGGAGACTGGAACACCGAGGAGCACTACTTCGGCCACGACGGGTTCGGAGAAGTGTCCGGACACTACGTCGTGGGCGTGAATGCCGCAGTCACCTCTGGCCCCGGAGAAAACGGCACGCCGGCAGCATTGAAGATCATCGAGCTCACGCGGGCGAGACCCGGCCAACTCACCCTGGTGCTGCTCGGACCGCTGACCAACGCGGCTATCGCCCTCCTGGTGGACCCTCACTTCACCGGAGGCCTGCGAGAGGTGGTCATCTTGGGCGGCAACAGACAAGGTATGCTTAGCAGATAGAAAACATATCCTGAAATCTTTCGAAATATTGCAAGTCAGCAAGTCTTCGCAATCACTTACAGACTTGTTGATCGAGAGTGAGAGAGAGAGAGAGAGCGAGATGAAGAGAAAAAAAATCTCTTTATTGAAGAACAGACATTCAGCCGGCAAACAAGGTATTAGGAAAGAAAACTAAAGACATAACTGCCCTGGAAGCTAGACGACAAGGAAAGGAAAGGGAAAGCAGACATATGATAGTGGCGTGTACAAGTCAGAATGAGGTGGCTGGGACGCAAGCCACGATAATATACTTCCCATGTATCTCTAGATCTCGGAAAAATACTTATACTTTGCGTTACACTTCTAAGCAGCGTCAAATTTAAAATTTTTTAAATGTTACTCGAAGACAATAGAGGCTACTTACACGAAATTGAAAAACTTCCGTATTGTTGCTTGTAATAAAAGTACTGTTGTCAAGAACACTGATAAGTATTCTGCGGTTGCTCAGAACGCACTTGATATATATTTAATATGATTCGCTAAGAAACCACTTTTGGTTTCTGTATCAAGGAAGTGGTATACCATATAATTTATTTATTTATTTATTTATTTATTTAGAAAATACTGCAGGCTACGAATAGCCCAGGCAGGAGTGGGGGTGGTACAGTATGAGAATGTGACCAAAAAAAAAAGCAACAATACAGGAGGCACAAACTAACAGGTAAATATACAACACATTATGGTACAAGATCTAAGTTATTTCAAAAAAATTTCAATACACCTCAACACGTTTCCAGATTAAAAAATGTGATGTGGTAGTTCGTTCTATTCTGTGAATGTGCGAGGAAAGAAAGAGTATTTTAAATTGTTAGTTCGAGCAAAGATAGGAGTGAAGTTTTGTGAATGATATCGTCTAGTTCGACGCGAAGATAACGGAGAAAGAATATTTGATAGCTCAAGTACACTTTTTTTGCTGGATAGATAGAAAAGAAGTTTTAGTCTTGCAGTTTTCCTGCGACATTCTGGTGTTTGAATTTTGTTATCATGCATTAGTTCAGTTGGGGAATCAGATCGGTGAAATCGGTTGAAAATAAAGCGGAAGGCTAACCTTTGGATTTTCTCTAGATTGTTAATATCTGTTTTGGTATGCGGATCCCACACCTCGCATGCATATTCCAAACCAGACCTGATTATTGTATTGTAAGCTAGAAGTTTAGCACTGGGGGGAGAACTACTGAGTCTATGCCTTAACATGCCTAATTTCCTACGTGCAGATGAACAAATTTTTTCAATGTGAGAAGCCCAAGTTAGTTTGTTAGTGATTGTTACGCCAAGATACCACTTGGATAGCCGTCGCAATATTGCTCTTCTCTGTCTGTGCCAGAAATATATTACCTCTAATAAACGAACGCGGCTTCAGCTTCAAACACCTCACTCTTTTTCACGCAGATTGCATAATCAGTTCAGCTTCATGCGCATGTACGGGTCAACTAATGCATTCAATTCATCACCACTGCCTCGGGCCGTTCGTCTTTGGAATGACCTCCCTGATTGCATAGCCTCCATATCTAATCCCGATACATTTCGCCGTCAGCTACTCACTCTGTTCACCATGTGACCCTGTTTTTGTATTCTGAGTGCAATGCGTAACGGTGATTTATATTCCCCTTGTCTTTTATTTTAAAATGTATCCCTCTGTCGCCATGTTCATATCAACAAGTGCTGTATTCCCTCAAATTTACCTCGCCCTGTATAGCCTAAAATGTGATCTCACTTATATATATATATATATATATATAGTTTTTCGTTGTTCTTGCACTGATCCTGCCTGTAAACTGTTCGTTACCTGTCTGTACCATTCCGATTCCTCCCCCCCTTACCCAATGCCCTGTTCTGGGGCCTGTAAGGTTTTTTTTTTTGAATAAAGAATAAAGATATTTGTAACTTTCTGTTAGTAAAATTGGGGTCTCTTTTATACTGTACGGGTAAATAAACGGCTGTTTCCTGTTAGTGATGCGCGCATGAACATAGTTCTATCGGGGTTTACATTCATTCCCCAGCGGTCACACCACGCAGATATGGCTTCGACAGATTGGCGCAGCGTTATCTGATCATTTAAAGAGTTGATTGAACGGAATAAAATACAATCATCGGCAAATAAGCGGATTTCTACACCTTATTTAGCACATGTTGTAATATCATTATTATAAATAAGAAAAAGCAAAGGCCCAAGTACACTTCCCTGGGGAACACCGGTGTTAAAAGGGAGAAGGTTAGAATAAACACCGTTTATGTTAACAAACTGTGTACGTGAACTTAAATATGATTCAACCCATTTAACAATTGTGGAGGGAAAACCTACCAGATTAAGCTTGTGAATTAGTTTGGAGTGCGGTATTGAATCAAATGCCTTGCTGAAGTCAAGGAAGATTACATCGGTTGGCCTGATTTATCTAGTACTGAGGAGAATGAATGGACACAAGAAATTAATTGGGTAGTTGTAGGAAGACCTTTACGGAAGCAGTGCTGCAATGGCGATAGAACATTTCGCGCGTCTAAAAAATTTACCTTGTAATTTAAAATGATGTGCTCCAGCAGTTTACAACACGTGCTTGTAAGGGATATCGGCCTATAATTGGTTATGAGGAGAACGTGTAACCAAAATGTGGCGTATAAAGGTGTAAACAAAATGTGGCGTACGTCTAAGTCACTCGGGGAGAGCGGCTCTTGACGTTCTTGCAGCATCATGCAGTTCGCCGTTATATAGTTGCACGTGTTGTGAGTAAATGATTAACCGTGAATTGCCATCCGGGGCTACCAAAGCAATATAATCATATAAAATCTAGTATTCGAGTTTCCTTGCTCCGGTGTGCGGAGAGCGTTAACATTACAGGCCAAGGAAACAAAGACATCCACTTTGCGATGCCTCAAAATTGAGTCAGTATCCTTTAACTTTCCGAGACATACCTGTGGGCATACATATGGGGCAGTTCGTTGGTGCAGTTGTGCAAAAGTTATGTACATACGGCCAATCTTCACGCCTTTTCGCCTTTTTATTCTTTTGTGAGAAAAAAAAAGAACAAGCTGTGAAAAACATGGCTTTGCATGACTGTGCTGTCACAGATTCGTCATGAGAAAGCTGGTCCCCTTTTAGTCCAGTTTCATCGGTACTTTCAGCAGCTTGTTTCATTAGTGTTCTGCCAATTACAGGAGAAAATAACATTCGTTAAAGAATTTCGGGAATTTCATGCTTTTATTTGTTTCGGTAGTAATCTTAGTACTACCAGGCCGCACTTCTTTTCCTGCACGATTAAACTTAAAGCATCAAATCAGCAACGTGATGAGACCAGAAGTGAATCCTTGCATATAAAGTAGCCGGCCGATTTAAATGTCATAGTTAAGGGTTTGTCCTTCTGTAATATCAGCGTAACATATATAAACGAACCGCATTTATCTCGCGGAATGTTAGGCTTAGCTGTTAATGTATCGCAGCTGTCGCGCGAGCAGTAGCGCTTGCTGAAGTTCAATAACCAGAATTTTGACAGGCGACATGGGAGAGCTGTGTGGGTGTGCGTGTGTGTTTGTGGACGAGCGTGCATGCATGCGTGCGAAAATATAAATAAAAATTTCGAAGCATACGCTTGCTTCGGAGACTGACGAACCTTTTAAGTTGCTGCACTATGCGCGGCCTAATTTTTCATCTAATTCATATATATAAACATGAATATGAGCCTTTGGTTATTCCGAAGCATGAGTACGGGTCTGTAGACGTGGAAACGGCTGGTGATTCAAGACCCAGACGCACAGGGGCAGATTTTCATTCCCACAGCACTTATTGCATTATGATACCACTGACTTACAGCCTTTCACTAACCGCAGGCCGAGGAAATGCTGTGCCGGGCTCGGAGTTCAACTTCCACACAGACCCGGAGGCTGCCCACATTGTCCTGCAGAGGACGCAGTGTCCGGTCACCATCGTACCATGGGAAACGTCCCTTATCTCCATACTTCCGTGGGTAAGAAACCTAGATTCAGTTGAAGCGTAGCATACTACTTTAAAAATTACCCTCGTCCTCACTCACAATGCACGGTCAGTGCACCGCAGGCTTACAACCGCACACCAATGGAGTGTCAGGATATCTTACCTTGACCGTTACTAACGGCGGTAATATATAGATGTGTGTTCTTTGATAAAGACCAGAACGCCCCGCCGCGGTGGTCTGATGGCTAAGGTACTCGGCTGCTGACCCGCATGTCGCGGGTTCAAATGCCTGCTGCGGCGGCTGCATTTCCGATGGAGGTGCAAATGTTGTAGGCCCGTGTGCTCAGATTTGGGTGCACGTTAAAGAACCCCAGGTGGTCGAAATTTCAGGAGCCCTCCACTACGGCGTCTCTCACAATCATATGGTGGTTTTGCGACGTCAAACCCCACATATCAATCAATAAAGACCAGAACGCAGTGCGCATGTGCTTCTGACAAAAAGGGCAGATGTACTCGCGTGCAAGCCATCAGTTTTTTTTTAATTTAGTTTGAAAGCCTTGTCTTAGCAATGCATGTAAATTCATGGTATTAAATATGCACAAGCAAACTTGCTTCATCATCCGCAAGTCCTGCCGTCAAGGCCTGTTGGCTGGCCACGCCTTAGGTATGTTGTACAGAGATGGCAAAGAGATTTAATTGTAGCCCGGTAGTATACATGTGTACCACGTCACATCGCGGATCGGTGCGTCACAAAACGGCCATGATGTACCATACAGGCCACTGTCACGTTGCAACCGGAGAGTATACTCACAGGTGGGGTAAGCCCAACCCCGACCTGAAGTTTCCGCAACGTAACTTCGTCTTGGTGGTTTAAACTATCAAGGGGTGTCTAACCTAAAGCTGTTGTTATGCTACCTTTAGGTACCACGTGTTGCACTTAGCTCTGGCTAGCAACCACAGCTGTGCGACGACGGCGCCCTGATTTTTTGAAGATGACGTGGCTAGTGTATCCGATTAATTTGTCTGGCGTCTCTAAGGCCGGTGATTACCCTCCCTACATGTCAGTGAACACAAATCCAGTGAGAAAGTGGCCTGAGCTTTTAGCTTCTCCGCCGCACACAATTGTTAGTGGTGTTTGGAAGGCACACAGGCAACTCTGCTGCTTATAGCTGTAGCATAAATAGTAACTCTAGGCTGACCATCGTGGGATAATTGGGGTGAACAGCGGAAGTGCCTCGGACAGTCTGGCCAACGTTTCGATATCAAGACCTATGTCAAAGACGCCTTATCATTCTTGGCGCGTTAGTTTTGGAGGCCAGTAGTGACGTCATCTCCTATAGTGGAGCGTGTATCTGTAGGTATGGTATCCCGGTTGGGATGCCATTTATAGATAAATAGGTATGACGTATAAGAAAGGCAGGGACAAAATGAAGACACGAACTTACAGACCCGGGCGCCTGCGCGTGTCAGTTCATGTCTTTACTATTGCATCTTCCCCAATTTCGCTGAGGGAATGTACCAACTAGCTCAGCACCAAGCCCTGTTAAATACACCAGATACACGCCGTCCAAAATGAGTCCTTTTTAAAAAGAAAAACCTTTTTTCCCATTTGTTCTTAACGAGATCATTGTAGGTAGTCAGGTTGTCCCTGGTGTCCATCTCATCTGCAGTAGCTCCAGCGTGGTTGACAAGGCATCGCACAAGGGAGGGGGTGACCTCTTTGAGGTTGGGGAGGCGTGGCCACGTGGACTGGGCCTGCGTGGACAGGGATCTATGTCAGGGTGATCGTGTTCTATTCGGAGTGTTGTGTCTGGCAGAGGATGAGAAGCGTTTGGGGAGAAATGCGGCCTTTGCTGTTGTTAGTGACGGCTGAGCGAGAGTCACATACGATGGTGTCACAGGTGTCACACCGAGCCTTTCCCCCCCACCTCAACCCAAGCTCAACCGGGCACAGGCCACCACTTCGCGTCTACTTCAAAGAAACACGTATCCCTCACCTACCCGCCTTCACATCATATTCCCGGACTTGTACACAACCTCCCACTACCGGTGCTGTGGCACTCACCAGGCTACGCTTCCGCATATGCTGTGGGAGTGCCCGGCACAGTAGAGACATGCTAACACCACGATACCTTTCGTCGAAGCTTTATGAGGCTCTGCGGAGCCCCACTCTCGATGACCAAACCTGGGCAACCCAGCACGCTCGTGAGGCGGGGTCGAAGCAAGTCTTTGACGTCCCCTCATGGTAGGCCTAGGCCCGGTCACCTGGTTTCTGACAATAAAGTTTAGTCCTTCTCCTCCAGCCTCTCACTTGTTCTTGCTCGTTTCACCACACTTGGTAACGAGTTAGTGGGATTTGGGCCACCTATAATAGGGGTTACCACGTTTAGAATACATTCACTCTAAACTTGGTAACCCTTCCATAGCTGCACGAAATCGCGCCTATCCGTTACCAAGATTAGAGCGTAGGTACTGCCCGTAAACCGTAGTTCTCAACACTCGCGCGCACATGTTCGAGTTACCTCGAGGGCTCACTTATGTTTTTCTGCATTGCAGCCCTCCTACCACCACGTGGTCCTCAAGAACAGCACGAAAGCGCAGTTCTTGGCCGATGTGACCCGGTACACGCAGCGCTGCTGCGAAGCTGGCAATGAAGGATTCAATGTGGGTGATGCCCTCGCCGTCCTGGCGGCACTGTCCCCGGCTTCTGTGCTCGACTCGGTCGATCGTCGCGTCGCCGTCGAACTGTCTGGTCACCACACCCGCGGCCAGCTGGTCCAAGCCTGGTCGCCTACGATGCTGCCGCAGGTGCGTCGAACTGTGAAGCTGGTCCGGGCGCTTGACACACGGCTTTTGGCTGACTACCTGACCAGGGCGTTCTCTTGACAGCTGAAGAAGACCATTTGCTGTAACACTTTAAGGCTGTAACACAGCCTGAACGATGCCGTCACTGTTGCATTTCATGCACCGGTGGTCGGGTGACTTGCGTAGAATGGGGAAGGAGAGAGAAACAAAGAGAGGGCTGAGATAGGAGGAAGAGAAACAAAGATGAAGAGGAGAGAAGAGAGATACAGAAAGAGAAATAAGGAGACAGAAGTAGAGACAGAGAGATAGAAGCCGTTTGTAGTGTCTTAACTCAAGCGAATCAAGTTGAAGTGCTAACCTCGTTTTTTTGTTTTTTTTTCAGCTCTCGTGTCATGTTTGTTCTATCTTTCGCGAACGCGGCTGTGTTCACTGACTAACTTGCTGAGAAACTGGTACAGCTTTACACGTGGAGAGCGTCACTTGGAGTTGTCTGCATTGTTGTGGCAGCCCGCAACACAATACTTCGGACTTCACCGATGTTGCAGTGGGGCCGCTTCTTCCATCACGGAAAGATAACTTCGCACATCGAGCGTCTCATTTAAGCGCGCCAAGCTGACGGCACGGCGTCGAAGTTGCCCGCACCGACTGCAGAACGCGTTCACCGCGTTTCGCATGCGCTCCCGTTTCGGCGAGACACACTGACTCGCTTGAGCCCTCTCCCGCGCCTATACCCAAGTTTTCCGGACCTCGCCGCCAGAGCCAGGCGCAGCGTTGTCGTCGCTCGGCAAACTTGAGCTGTGGTTCCCTATAGTCTTACCATTTCGGACAAAGATACAGAGGCAAAAATACAGAACGAGTCACCGCTCACCAGAGCAGTCGGAGGACGGAGGAGAAAAGAAAATCACGCTACTGTGTCCTGTGTTGCGAACAGACAAGACACGGGAGTCCCGTGATCAGATCTTGGTCGGGCTCCGAGATCAGAGTGAGATCTTAGAGCATCTGATTTGCAGCGTGGTGCTCTGAAATAACATGTCAAACGTAGCTAGAGTAATTTGGTTTCAATCAGATGTACGTGACGCCCGTCGCTAGAGTACTCTGGAGCGCTCAAAGGAACCCACTCGAATGTATACTATATAACCGGTTAGCTGTTATAACAGAGAAGTTCGCGGGGATGATGCAAGGTTGACCTTTTTTCTAATTTGTGCTATCTTGATATGCCACAAACGCCATGCATAGAAATGCCCTGCTAATATCGCCATACGAAAAACTTTTTTTCCCTCCATAATTTTTTTTATTTCTTTCCTTCTCTCTCTGCACTCGCCTCGCCCATCTGAGTTACTGCATTTCGCACCGTGCAAATCTACGCTTGTGTTGTAGAAGCAAAGCAGAAGATGAAGACGGCGACGATGATAGAGAAAAAAAAATTGCCCGCAGCTTCCCTCGGGGGAACACTGAGGAGGATGCGGAGCATATAATTGGTTAACGGGGTGTCAAAGTGCGACTTACTTGGGTCGATGGCTAAATTGGTTAACGTGGTTGTGAAATGGGGTGTTAAATTGCGACTTACTTGGGTCGCTGGCTAAATTGGTTAACGTGGTTGTAGGAGGGGTGTTAAATCAGTGAACACGTACGACACGTATGCGAAAGGGTCGGACGACGACTTGGTTGCGGTTCCGCCAACACTTTGGCCGGCGCTGGTCGAAGGGAGGTCGATCATTGCGACCTCGGACGTCGACGCGCCGTACAAACCAACCGACGAGCGGCAACTGAGCGAGCGAGCACCGACCTTGAGTATATATACAGCGCGACGGCGCATGCACTGTCAGCTGTCGAATGTTCGAGAAGGGGGAGAAGCGCAACGGCGCATGCGCGCGCGTCAGCTGCCGATGTTCTCGAAGCGCGATGGCGCATGCGCGCGCGTCAGCTGCCGATGTTGTCGAAGCGTGACGGCGCATGCGCGCTACATTATACAGCTAGCGAATGTTCGTGAAGAGGAGAAGCGCACGCGGTGTGTAGAGGAGGAAGGGTGCACATATGGTGGAGGAGTGAAGCACGCGCGGTGTGTAGAGGAGGAAGGGATGCACAGATGGTGGAAGAAGGAGGAGGAAGCTTGCGGACGGCGCCGCACTACAAGCCTCGAGTATTAGATGCTCCGCATCTAAAAAACAAAGAGTGTGGTTGCCGTCGCATGATGATGATTGTTTGGTGACACCGCCAATGCTGCGGCATGATACAGCAGTTTTGCTGGTAAAAATACTTGCGGTTAGAACAAAAAAAAACTTAGCGCCTTGCACAAATTTTGAAACCTGGGCAAGAGTTTGCACCCACGAGCCTTTTTTTTTTTCAACCCGCCGTGGAAGCCTAGTGGTCAAAGTGCTCGACTGCTGACCCGCAGGTCTTGGGATCAAATCCCAACCACGGTGGCTGCCCTTCCGATGTAGGTGAAAATGCTTGCGGCATGTGTACTTTCATTTTGGTGTTCGTTAAAAAAAACCCAGGTGGTCAAATTTTTGGAGTTCTTCACTAAGGCGTCTCTCATATATAGCACGTTTGGTACGTTAAACCCCGACAATTATAATTATTGTCATGCCACTTTCTGTTCTCTCTTTGTGTGCCGTCTGCAGCTCAGTGTCAAAGATGATCTCTGGCACGGACGAATGACAGCATCGCCGCATTGCTGTGTGCAGGGCTTGTACTTATTGTTTGGTTGTCGCCGACTAAATTATTAGAATGCGCACATGGCTCGAACACCACACAACTTCGGCGTTGCTTACCTATGGTTATATCGTCTAGGTATGCGAATCTTCGACACACAAACTTCAAGGTATCTGCGTGCCCATACGTATAACCATACTCTTTAGTAAAGGGTGCCCATTGTTAAAATAAAACGCGCTGCTGTTGTGAAACGCATTCATTGTCCTGTCAACTACGACGTTTTAATCGGCGGCCTTCGTGTGAAATAAATAAAGGGTGCCTCTGCAGGCATGGCGTCAAAAGGTGAAAAAGGACAGGATGACCTATACGCGCCTTACGTTAATGGGAGGCCAGAGTAAACACCTTTCCGAAAACACTGTCACCGCTTAGATCTTAGCGAGGCACGAGGTAAGCTGTTTTAACATTTTGCTTCTGAATTTACTGACGCAAAATTTATATTCACGATTTTATATTTTTCAAAGAAAAGCAGGGCGACCTTCTCCGAAAGCACCGAAGAACAGTTAGAGACAAGTGCTGTTGAGACGCATATGGCATAATCTATTGCAAGAGGAAACGAAAAGCTTGAGGAGAAACTTCACTTTAAGAAGGTAGACGACCAACGAAGTGGTTCAGCTCAAGACACCGAGCTGGCAAATATATTCCAACCGTCATCGATTACTGATCTCGCCACTAAGTTTTAAATGTCTTTCCTGAAGAACCCTCTTGAATATAACCATCGCCTTTCGAATGTAAGAGGGGAGTACTTATAGGTTTGCCCAATTTCTGTGTCGCGTACGTATCCGTTCGCTGACAAATGTAATATGCAGCCTAGTCGTAAAATATACTGTGGTATGGAAATATATGACGATGGAGTATATGGAAAGTACAGCACACGATATAAAGAGAAAACAATGTCCACGTTATTCGCTACTTCCTACGAGTGTGAAACATTTCATAAAAAAAGTACAATGCCGTCCGCGATAAAGACCATTACTGTTTACTTCTGCTTAGTAGTCATCCACAAAGCCCAATTATGCGTCATGATCATGGTGTAGGAAAACTAATGGTCTTGACAGTTGCCGGGAGGGGCACCTTTCAAGTTTATCTCTCATCCCCCCCCGCACTTTGTAAAGAAAACGAAACAAAGAAAATGCAAGGACAAGGAACAAAAAGCTGCACAACATCAGCATGACGGAGTTCTTGCCCCCTCTATCTGACAAGCTGCGTACAGCATGTATATAAAAAGAGAAAAAATAGAACACAAAATTATTTTACGCACGCCTATATCCAGATTTATGCGTACACAACACTTATACATATTACCATCTTGATATGCCGTAAACATATCAAAAAATACATATTACCATTTATACAACCATATCACATAGATATCCAAATCTGTTCAGATATATGATTTTCACGTATACATCCGTACATTTGGGTCTCCATAAATATATATATAAGCAAGCAGTTATGTTCACGCATCAAAACCTCGTCAATGCAGAAATGACCACGACCAAATTCTTAAGTTACGGCCAGCGCTAACAAGGTTTTATTTTGAAATACTGGTTCTGTTCAGTGGAACCAGATAAAAAAATTGATTGATGATTGATTTGTGGAGTTTAACGTCCCAAAAGCACCATATGATTATGAGAGACGCCGTAGTGAAGAGGTCCGGAAATTTTGACCACCTGGGGTTCTTTAACGTGCACCCAAATCTGAGCACACGGGCACAGCATTTTCGCCGCCATTCAAAATGCCGCCGCCGAGGCCAGGATTCGATCCCGTGACCTGCGGGTGAACAGCCGAATACCTTAGCCACTAGACCACTGCAGCGGGGCAGTATCACAAATCTCGTAGAGAGAATTGTGGGAAGCAATAATGGAACGACGGAGGTCGACACGGAACGCCTTGTACAGGTCCTCGTTCTCAGTCGAGTCACTTTCGCCATTAGTATTTGAAGTAATCGATAGACTGAAATAGACCATATTGACAAGTTCACAAGAATAGCCTACAAAGCTGCACTGTGACTACCGAACAGCGTGATTACACGCATTTCTTATTGTAAGGTAAAAAAAAAATAAATCCTCGGCCCGCACCATGAAGATATATCAGGCAGTGCCAATTCGAAAAGAAAAATGAACAGAGCAGAGCCAAGTGAAATTTTGAGGGGGAAGGATGTAGATGAGACGCGGACTCCACCCCCAGTCACACGAGTACAGAAAAATGGCAGATCCCACGTACAGTGGGTATCGATGATATGCGAAGCCCGAATGAGAAAGGTTGATATGTCACTTTAAATTCAGCACAACGTTACGAGGCGGAGGTAAATGATGACGTACTTGATTTCTTTGTCATGAATATCATGTTTGGATGTGTCGTTTACC